GTTGCGCTGGTACCATAGTGGCCATGACAGTGGTGCTGATGGTGACAGTGATGGCGGGCAGCTGCCGCCAGTGCGCGGCTCAGGACTTTAAGCCCAACTTCTACTGCACAGACAACCCGTGCAATGACGTGTCGTACGAGGTGTCCGGCGAAACGGGCTGTCCCCACACGGACCACGCTTGCCTGTGTGTGGACGAGGCGTTTGTGGAGAGCTTTCCGGCCGGCTGCGAGTGCAGGGATGGCCTAACCAGGACGGTGGACACAAGCGGCACAAGCCCGAGCGGATTCGTGTGTGGGCCATGCACCGTGTGCGACCACTTCCACATTAAAGCGTCCCCTTGCATGCCAGAACAGGACACCGTGTGCGTGAACTGCGCAACTGCGTGTGAGCCCGGAGCATACGTGGACGCTTGTGGCTCGTCAAGCGTCGCGTGTGAGCCCTGCACCTCATGCGAGGCACAGTCTCAGTTTGAGGCGGCGCCTTGCACGTCAACGTCAGACACCCTCTGCTGTGACGCCTGCGCGGACGCCGAACAGTTTGTCGCGGAACCGTGCACGAGAACAACAGCGGCCACCTGCACTGCGTGCACGCGGTGCGTGGATGGGCTTGAGTTTGAGCTGCGTGCATGCGGCCTCACCACGGACCGTGTGTGCCAGGCATGCACAACGACATGCGCTGGTCCGCACGAGCACGTTGTGACGCCTTGCACCCCCACATCTGACGCTCAACGTGGCTGCCTTCCCGGCTACTTTGAGTCAGTCCCAGAAACACCAACATCCTCGCGGGAATGCATCCCTTGCCCACAGGGAACCACCGACCACGACCGAGATGGCACCACCGCCTGCATGGCGTGCCCGTTTGCCATCACCAACACCACCGCCAACGCTGGGCCCTGCGAGGAGCTGCAGTGTGCCCCGGGCACGTCGGGATCCCAGAGCTGCCAGCCGTGTGCGCCACCCTCACACTACCAGCCGCTTGGTGGCCAGACCATGTGCCTCAACACAACACTGTGCCGCCCGGGCTTTGTCGAGGAGCAGCCGCCCACGCCGACAACCGACCGCGTTTGTGTCGCGTGTGGACATGGCACGTTCAGCAACGTCACCGCGGATGGTGCAGGGTCGTGTGTCAACTGGCGCACGTGTGCCGTGCTGACCGAGCAATATATCTTGGGCGACGGCACCAGCAGCACTGATCGTGCGTGTGCTGCTTTGACGCCGTGTACACCGTCTCAGTTTGAACAGCAACCGCCGACCCGGTTTCATGATCGTGTGTGTGCAAACATATCTGCACCCTGTGACGTCGGCAGCACCGAGTATGAGGTGCGTGATGTGTGTGTGTGTGTGTGTGTTTGTTTGTTTGTTTGCATATCGCGTATGCGTGTGTACGTGTTTGCGTGTGTATGCATATTGTGTGTTTGCGTGTGTGTGTGTGTGTGGTTGCACATACTTTTATACATGTGTGTGTGTGTGTGTGTATGTGGTTGTTCAACACTTTGTGCGTGCTGGTCCGTATTGGGCTTGTTGCTTCAATTGTGTCCTGACTTATCACGTCATGCCACTCCTATACGTTTTGGTACGCTGGCTGCGCCTGGTGGT